GGCATTGTGGTGGGCGCCTGTAGTCCCAGCTACTTGGGAGGCTGAGGCAAGAGAATCGCTTAAGCCCAAGAGTTTGAGGTTGCTGTGAGCAGTGAGGCCACAGCACTCTACCCAGGGCGACAGCTTGAGACTCTGTCTCAAAAAAAATAATAATAATAAGGTCTCACTTTGTTACCCTGGGTAGAGTGCAGTCATGTCTTCATAGCTCTGGGTAACTGCAAACTCCTGGACTTGAGTGATCCTCCTGCCTTGTCCTCCCACGTAGCTGGGACTACAGTCATGTACAACTGGCCTGGTTAATTAAAAAAAAAATTGTATGGCTTGGCACCTGTGGCTCAAGTGGCTAAGGCGCCAGCCACATACACCTGAGCTGGCAGGTTTGAATCCAGCCTAGGCCTGCCAAACAACAGTGACGGCTGCAACCCAAAAATAGCTGGGTGTTGTGGCAGGTGCGCCTGTAGTCCTAGCTACTTGGGAGGTAGAGGCAGGAGAATCACTTGAGCCCAGGAGTTGGAGATTGCTGTGAGCTGTGATGCCATGGCATTCTACCCAGGGCAACAGCTTGAGGCTCTGTCTCAAAAAAAAAAAAACTGTAGTGATGCAGTCTCACTCTGTTGCTTAGGCTAGTCTTGAGCGCCTAGGGGTGATCCTCCTGCCTTGGCCTCCCAAAGTGTTGAGATTATAGGTGTGAGCCACTGTTTAACTGGCCCCATTTTCTTCTTGAAGCCATTTTGCCTGTTTTTATAGTTACATCTCTTCTCTTTTTGCTTTCTTGATGCATCTCTCTGCCATCCTTATTCTCCCATCTTTACTGAGTAATTACTTCTATGTTTATATTTCTCCCTCTTTTCTGTCATTGTCAAACTCCTTACACTCTATCCTGTACTCAGCATCTTTACTTACTGACCAATCTCTCTTTTTTTCATTCTTCCCTCATGTTGAAATCTGATATTTCAACATGGATCCGCATGGGTCTTATGTTATAATTTCTTTTGTCCCACCGTTCTTTTTTTTTATTTGTAGAGACAGAGTCTCACTTTATCACTCTCGGTAGAGTGCCATGGCATCACACAGCTCACCACAACCTCCAACTCCTGGGCTTAGGTGATTCTCTTACCTCAGCCTCCCAAGTAGCTGAGACTACAGGCGCCCGCCGCAATGCCTGGCTATTTTTTTGTTGCAGTTTGGCTGGGGCCAGGTTTGAACCCGCCACCCTTGGTATATGGGGCCTGCACCCTACCCACTGAGCCACAGGCACCACCCTTGTCCCACCATTCTTTTTTTTTTTTTTTTGAGATGGAGCCTCAAGCTATCCCCCTGGGTAGAGTGCTGTGTCATCACAGCTCACAGAAATCTCCAACTCCTGGGGACAAGCAAGTCTCCTGCCTCAGCCTCCCAAATAGCTGGGACAACAGGTGCCTGCCACAACACCTGGGTATTTTTTTGGTTGCAGCCATCATTGTTATTTGGCGGGCCCGGGCTGGATTTGAACCCGCCACCTTAGGTGTATATGGCTGGCGCCTTAGCCACTTGAGCCACAGGCACCAAGCCCCACCATTCTTAAGATAGCAGTCTCTTCCTCCAAAAAAAATATTTTTCCCTCCAATGTATTTCAGATTGGGAGACTAAACTGAAAAACCAAGAATCAACTTCTAAGAAGGTGGTTTTGGGGGAAGAACCAACTAGTGGTATGAGTATAAGGCTTACAATAGAAGACTGGGGAAGTGTTCAGTGCAAGGAGAACCATGATGACCCCCAGGGGCTTTTGAGGCAAATGGCATCCATCCAAGTAAAGACAATTGCTCAGGAAGAAGCAACGACATGGTGTGGATTTGGAGATGTTAGTAATCTTAGCTCAGACCTTATTATATCGCAGGGAAGCTCTTTAGAAAAATGCATCAGTACCAGTGAGCTAGATGTCAAGAACTTGGCATCTGATTTAATCTTAAACTGCCATCAGATGCAATATGCAGATCAGATACCCTGTGAAAGTAATGAATTTGGAAATTCCCTCAGCCAAAATGGTCAACTTATTCAACATGAAAGAATTCAAACAGGAGATATGACATCCATATATGTGGAAAATGGAAAATCAGTGAATCATAGTGTGGCTCTTACTGTACACAACAAAATTAATATAGCAGAGAAACCCTTTGAATGTCACCAGTGTGGGAAGGTGTTTAACAGGAGACATTCTTTGAGTGAACATCAGAGAATTCATACAGGAGAGAAACCATATGAGTGTCAGGAATGTAGGAGAGCCTTCACACACAGCTCTACCCTTACTCGCCATCTGAGGACTCATACTGGAGAGAGGCCCTACAGATGCAATGAATGTGGTAAAGCCTTCAACAGGATTTCATCTCTGACTCAACATCAGAGGATTCACACAGGGGAAAAGCCCTATAAATGCAAAGACTGTGGAAAATCCTTCTGCCAAAGCTCTTACCTGATTTTGCACAAAAGAACACACACGGGAGAGAAGCCCTATGAATGCAATGAATGTGGAAAAGCCTTTAGCGATCGTTCCTCTCTCAACCAGCATGAGCGAACTCACACTGGGGAGAACCCCTATGAATGTAACCAGTGTGGAAGAGCCTTCAGCCAGAGATCTTCCCTCGTGAGGCACAAGAGGACTCACACTGGAGAGAAACCTTATAGCTGTAACGAATGTGGGAAAGCATTCAGCCAGAGCTCCTCCCTTATGACACATCAGAAAACTCACACTAGCCAGAAAACCTATAGAATAATAGACTGTGGGAAAGTGTTTTATCAGAGCAGCCACCTTATTGGATTTTAGTGATTGCATGCTGCCTTGTAAAGTGCCCTTAGCACTCTGACACTTAAATGTGGTTAGACTTTGCCCTGGTGTGATAGGTGTAGGTTCATATCATATTCTTACAAGAAAGTTCTGAGGTCTAGAACTGAGAAATCACCATTAAGCTATACCAAATGAGCTCCATTCGCTTAGAAAAGATTGCTTAGTGGGAATGCTAACATAGAATGGGATTTTTCTAAGAAATCACATGTTAGACTCAGCACCTGTAGCTCAAGCGGCTACAGAGCTGGTAGGTTCAAATCTAGCCCGGGTCTGCTAAACAACAATGACAACTGCAACCAAAAAATAGCTGGGCATTGTGACAGGCACCTGTAGTCCCAGCTACTTGGGAGGCTGAGGCAAGAGAATTGCTTAAGCCAAGGAGTTGGAGGTTGCTGTAAGCCGTGATGCCACGGCACTCTACCAGGGGCAATACACTGAGACTCTGTTTCAAAAAAAGAAAGAAATCACATGTTAATTTAGTTACTGAAACAAAAGATACTTTGTTTTAACTTTCAACTTATCATTTTAGTGTTCAATATTCTTGTGTAATAATTTACTCAGTCATTCCACCCTGTTGGTCACTCAGCTAGATCCTAATTTTCCTCATGTACTACTTTGGCAAAGCAGAGTGTGTGCTAAGATGACAAGTGCTTTGGATGTGAAATTTAAAAAATGAAGGATACAAAAATGTAAAATTTGGGGCAGTAAATGTGGCTAAAAGGAGTAGGGCGCCAGCCCCATATACCTGGGGTGGTAAATTCAAGCCTGGCCCCAGCCAAAACTGCAAAAAAAGAAAAAGAAGTAAAATTTCATCCAGTGAAGTCAAAAAATATATATATACACAAAGGGACAAAGACTGGACAGAGATTTTGAGAAATGAATAGTTTATCTGATTATTAATCAGGATTATCTGATTATGTATGATTCTGTGTCATTTGCTATTATTTATTGCAGTAGTCATTTTGACAGTGAATAAATATCAAAAAGCACTAGAAATTGGATGGGATATGGAACCTCATTGATCAATGAGAGTAGATCGTGAATACCAAAATGGAAGAGATACAGTAGAGTGGGTTTTAGAAATGGAGAAGTTTAGTAACCTTTGGCCTGAGAAAAGTCCCAACTGTGAGATGTGCTTGATAGAGTAGAAACTAACAGTGGTGCTGTACATCATCATTAAAATTTATTGAATGCTTACTGTATGCCCAGCGCCAGCCCAATACTTACATGTGGTTTCTCATTTAACACAACATCACCCATGAGGTAATCACTGTTCATAAACCATGTTACAGAAGGGGATGCAGAAACAAAGTAACTTGCTCAAGACCACACAATTAGAAAGTAGTAGAATCTGATTTGAACTCTAGCAACCTGTACAAAGCCAGTGCCTCATTTGCTATGCTGCCAAGCAAGGATGTCTACAGAGGACCTGGGTTTTTCAGATTTTCCCTTGGGAGTCACATAACTTTTCTCTGATCTTGCTTTTCCTAAGAGATAATGAGAGAAGTTACCTTTCAGCTCTCCTTTCACTTAAATGGGACCTGTTAAAAGGAATTCTTTTGCCAGGCATGGTGGCTCATGTCTGTAATCCTAGCACTCTGGGAGGCCGAGACAGATGGATGGCCTAAACTCATGAGTTCAAGACCAGCCTGAGACCTTGTCTCTAAAAATAGCCAAGCATTGTGGCAGGCGCCTGTAGTACCAGCTCTTTGGGAGGCTGAGGCAAAAGAATCACTTGAGCCCAAGAGTTGGAGTTTGCTGTGAGCTGTGACAACATAGCACTCTACCAAGGGCAACAAAATGAAACTCAGTCTCAAAAAAAAAAAAAAAAGAAAGAAAGAAAGAAAGAAAAAGAAAAGGGGGAAGGGCTCAGTGACCCTAGCTCAGCGGTTAGGGTGCTGGCCACATACATCAGGACTGGCAGGTTCAAACCTAGCCCAGGCCTGCTAAACAACAATGATAACAACAACAACAAAAATAGCCGGGCATTGTGGTGGGCACCTATAGTCCTAGCTACTTGGGAGGCTGAAGCAAGACAATCGCTTAAGCCCAAGAGTTTGACGTTACTGTGAGCTGTGATGCCAGGGCACTCTACCAAGGGTAACATAGACTCCTTATGAAAAAAAAAAAAAAGAATTCTGTTAATCTTTCTTTAACAGAAGAAAGGGTTGCTGGGTCTATGCAGACTCAACTTAGTTGATGAGTAATTTTCCATAAGGGCTCCATGTAAAGTATGTGTTAGTGCATAGATATGTTTTCTGGGACTGCATCTATAGCTTTTAGTGTATTGTTGATCTCAAACTCCTAACCTCAAGTGATATACTCCTGTCATGGCTTCCTGGAGTGATAGGATTATAGGTGTGAGCTACTATGCCTGGGCTATATTCTTGAGACAAGTTAGAGGTATCATGAGTATACTCTTTTCAGTCTTGATAGCTCCCTCCCTTCAACAGTTGTTTGTAGAGAACCCAAACTCTTTGGTGACTGCGTACCAGACAAATTTGTTTCCCTCAATGAATATATATTCCAGTTGAAGGATCAGGACTGGGCATGTGATACCAGCAGTCATACAAGGATCGACTCCAACATTTTTGTGATTGATTTTAGCCCCACCTTTACATTCCTAGTTATTTTGAGAAATGATAATGAAAAATTATCAAATTATTATAATTTTAATACACACTAATAAAATGTTCCCCACCCACTTTCATGTTGCTATGATCCTTGCACATTTGTAGCTTGTCCTATACAAAAGTGAAGCTTTGGGACAGATGTTAAACAAGTAAGCAAATGCTTTAATTAAGTAATTACAGATTTTGGTAGATGGTATGGAGGACATGGGCAGGATGCTACTGTGATAGATAATATCACAGTGAGCAGCCTCAGGCGGGATCTTTCTGAGAGCTGGATGTTTAAGTTGAGATGTGAGTCATCAGAGCAGCCAAGATGAAGACACCCTCAGTATAGCTTTGTTTTCATATGTAACATGTAAGGATTTTCTAAATATACAAAATTTTGGCACTTTGGGAGGCCCAGGCAGGGGAGTTGCCTGAGCTTAGTAGTTCGAGACCAGCCTGAGCAAGAGTGAGACCCCCGTCTCTAAAATATAGCTGAGAATTGTGGCAGGCACGTGTAGTCAAAGCTACCTGGGAGGCTGAGGCAAGAGGATCAATGGTGACCATAGTTCACCATTGCTGTGAGCTATGGTGCCATGGCACTCTACCAAGAGCAACAAAGTGAGACTCTGTCTCAAAAAGAAAACTTTTTTTTGGTTTAATATGAGGATATGAGGTCTGACAATTTTTTTTTTTTTTTTTTTTTTTTTTTAGAGACAGAGTAGGGTGCCACAGCTCACAGCTACCTCCAACTCCTGGGCTCAGTTGATTCTCTTGCCTCAGCCTCCCGAGTAGCTGGGACTACAGGCACCTGCCACAAAGCCCGGCTATTTTTTTGTTGTAGTTTGCCGAGGGCTGGATTCGAACCCACCACCCTTGGTATATGGGGCCAGCGCCCTACCCACTGAGCCACAGGTGCTGCCTGAGGTCTGACAATTAAGTTCATGAATTTGCCACCATGTACTTACATTGGCAGCACTGTATAAACAACTCAATAAGGTTTCATAACTTTGGTATATCAGTGTCCCACAGTAGTGTTTGTGTTGACACTATGTGGCAGTGTCCTACGGAATGGTCATTATTGTGTGTGTTTGTGTGCCATCACGAGAATGTCAGAGCTTAGGTTAGAGAAAACACAAGCATTAATTATCTTGTTAAACTTGGCAAGAGTAGAAGTGAAATTACGGACATGTTTGTCCAAATTTATGGAGATAGTGCCATGAAAAAATGTATTAAACGTTTTTTTCTGAGGGGAGAGAAAGCATCACTGATGAAGAGAGGTTAGGGCAGCCAGTAATGAGCAGAACTGATGAAAACACTCTAAAAATTCATGGACTTGTGCTCCAAAATTGCTGGCTAAGAAGTATAGTACACCAATTAAACATTGACAGAGATATAGGGAAATCTTACCTGAAAATCTTGGCCAACAACTCTTGGCTCTTACAGCATGACAATGCAACAGCTCACACAGACTGTCTGTGAGAGAGTTTTTAGCCAGTATACAAATAACTGTATTGGAACCCTCCCTACTCACCCAATCTAGCCCCCCATGACTTTTTTATACCCAGAGATAAAGGAAACATTAAAAGGACATTTTGGCTCCGCGCCTATGGCTCAACCGGCTAAGGCGCCAGCCACATACACCTGAGCTGGCGGGTTCGAATCCAGCCTGGACCCGCCAAACAACAATGACGGCTGCAACCAAAAAAACAACTGGGCGTTGTGGCGGGCGCCTGTAGCCCCAGCTACTTGGGAGGTGGAGGCAGGAGACTCGCTTGAGCCCAGGAGTTGGAGATTGCTGTGAGCTGTGATGCCACGGTTCTCTACCCAAGGCGACAGCTTGAGGATCTGTCTCAAAAAAAAAAAAAAAGGACATTTTGATGACTTTAGGACATCAAGGGTAATATAACAACAGCTCTGATGACCATTCCAGAAAGAGTTCCAAAATTGCTTTGAAAGGTGGACTAGGTGCTGGTGTTGGTGCAGAGCTTCCCAAGGGGAATACTTCGAAGGTGACTGTAGTGATATTTAGCAATGAGCTGTGTAGCACTTTTTCTAGGATGAGTTTGTGAGCTTAATAGTCAGACCTCATATGTTTGACTCAAATGTCTTTTGAGAGAGAATATATTTTTATTATTATTATATTTTTCCTTGAGACAGAGTATCACTATGTTGCCCTCAGAAGAGTGCTGTTGCGTCACAGCTCACAGCAACCTCTAACTCTTGGGCTTAAGTGATTCTCTTTCATCAGCCTCCCAAGTAGCTGGGACTACAGGCGCCTGACACAGCATCTGGCTAATTTTTCTATTTTCGGTAGAGAAATGATCTGGCTTTTGCTAAGGTTGGTCTCCAACTCCTGAGCTGGAGGGATCATCCCGCTTGGCTTCCCAGAGTGCTGGGATTGCAGGTGAAAACAGCCCCTAAAAGAGTTTTTTTTATCTAGTGTCAAATGTACGCAAGCACTATAAATAACACATCTCAGGTCTTGCGGCGTCCTGCCCCTCGCGCCAGGGCTGGGGGCTCTAACCTTTCCCTGGGCAGTGGTTTCCAGTCTCAAGACCCAGAGACCTGGGGCTTCCGCAGCGTCCGCTGTCAGTTTTCCGCACGGAGCCAACTTGGTGACTTCACATTAAAGGCTCTGGTCTGAAGCACCAAGCATAGACCCAGGATTTCGCACCCCTGTTCTGCCCGACCCTGCGGGACCCCAGATCTCCCCGGCCCAAAATGAGTGGGAAAATTGAATCTGGAGTTCTCGCCCTCATCCGGGAAAAGGTCGCAGGAGGGTCCACCGACTGCAGGGAAAGGCCAATATCCCTCCCAGGCCGGAGCGAGTTCGCCCAGATACGAAAGCCCCTGGCCCGTGGAGATCAGCCACGCGTGATCGCGATGCGTTCAGACTGCAAGGGATGCGTCGCTATCACTACTATCCAATCAAAGGCGCTAAAGGGATGAGGAGCGGGGCAGTCTCCAATCGAGGCGCAATAGCTGGGCAGCACTGTTCAATCAGGGTTTCGCTACCCCGATCAACTTCCAATCAGGCTCCGGGGGCGGGGCGTCGCTGTCCCCACTCTGTGGTGCTCTCTCCGGTGCCCCAAAGGGCCCAGGCGCCCCTGTCCCCGGCGCACTCACCTGCACCCGCCGCAGGGAGCTCGCCCGGAGGGCCTAGGAGCGGGGCTGGGACATGGTGAGTGCGCGGAGATGGGAGCAGAGCCGGGAAGGCCGGCGCTCGGCCCTCAGCCCGGCCCGCGCGTGGGCGGGAACCCAGGAGAGACGCTAGTACCCCGGATCGGGCGGGTTCGCTGGGTGGTCTGGGCCTCTGCCCACCAGTCCTTCAGGCTCGGTTCCCCCCAGGCCTCCAGTGCGGGGGACGCAGGTTCCCAAATCCGGCCCCAAAGCCTCCCCAGCCGGCCTCGGTAGCCGGCCTTCACCCTGAGACCCCGGACTTTCTCTTCCTCCCCCACGGCGCTGTCTCCTCCTGTTCTGTCCCCAGGGCTCCCCGAAGCTCCAGGGTCCTGCTCATTTGCACAGAGCGATAGATGTCCCTTTTTAAAGGGTCGGTTTCTGCTTTTTGATCGGTCCACAGGAGCGAGGGGCAGGGCCACCCCGAGCTCCGCGGGGACGGTCCCTCTGCTCCTCCCCCAGGCTGCTGACCATCATCCCGGGGCCGCGGTGGACTGGGCCTGGCCAGTGTCTTCTCAGCCCGCCCTCCTGGGTCTCTGCTGCCAGTTCTCTGGGAACACGTTGTGCTGCCCCCCACTGGACAGCTGAGGGATGGGATGGGGCTCTCCGTGGAGCTGCCCAATGCTCAGTGTCGGAGCAGAACCTCCCAGGCACCCCCACATGGAAAGCCCACCCCTAGGGCACGCCGAGATGCGCTTCCCTAAATCCCAGTTTACCTTCTTGGAGACACGATGGTGGTGAGTCTCCTATGACTTGCAAGATGCTGGTAGTTAGTAGGAAGGACAAGTGATTCCTGGCATTTGGGTTCTCACACACACAAAGGGAAACCCAAACTTGGGAGGGAGTGTAACGACCTGAAAAGCAAAATGCACTTCAGACCACAGATGGCTCAAGCCAGTGTCCTAAGTTCAGGGAACACTTCCCTGTGCAGGAGGGATGTGGCTATTCTTTATGGTAGGATGGAAAGACTTTTTCTCTGGAGCCTCAGATTTTCAGTAAATATATATAACAGACATTTAATTAATAGAGCTTGAAAGATAAGCTAAAATAATTCCAAAGGGGTGAATACCAGAATAAAAAATTAATGTTTCAGTCTTACATTCCATTTGTTAAACTTTGTTTATCTATTTATTTTCTACTGTCAAAGCAGTTGTCAGATATGTTAAACGCTCTTTTTTGCCCTGGAGACTGTGTGGTAAATTTCTCAGCTCTCTTGTTTTGCATGGTAGCAAATGGGATTCTAGGGCTTAGCCTTGAAAATGTTCCTGGGGAAAAGAATCTCTGAGAAATAGAGAAAATTCCCCTTCCAGTATAGCTGTAGGAAAATGAATAAATTTTCACAAAAATATGTCACAGGTAAATTGGTAAGTTAAAAAGATTCACCAGAATATCAGTTGTTCTCCTTGGTCCGGTGGGGGAATTTGTGGCAGTGTCTGATCCTATTTTTTTTCAATGATTTGCGATATTCATTCTTTAAATTTATAATTCTTTGTTAGTTATGAAGTATGTGGAAATACAAGACATTTTTCTTATTTAGATAACTGTTTGCCACTGTCCCATGTATGAAGTGTGTGTCATCTCTGTGACTGACCTGCAATGACTGCTGGGGCATTAATCACATTTCTGCAAACAGGATGGCTGTTTTAGGACTAGTTTGACTTTTTTCTTTTATTTATTTATTTTTATTATTATCATTTTATTTATTTATTTATTTTTGCAGTTTTGGGCCGGGGTTGGGTTTGAACCCACCACCTCTGGGATATGGGGCTGGTGCCCTACTCCTTTGAACCACAGGCACCACCCATTGACTGTTTTATTTTGAACTAGTTGACTGTTCTGCTACAAATCCCATAATGTCTGATTTATTGTACTTTAAAAATCCTTGCTGAGGGCCGTGGACAATGGCTGATGCCTGTAATCCTCACAGTCTGGGATTGAGAGGCATCCAGGGGATGGATTGCCTGAGTTTACAGATTGGAGACCAGCCTGAGCCAGAGCAAGACCTCTTCTCTGAAAAGAGCTGGGCTTTGTGGCGGGCACCTGTAGTCCCAGCCACTTGGGAGGCTGAGGCAGGAGAATCACTTAAACCCAAGAGTTTGAGGTTGCTGTGAGCTATGACACTACAGCAGTCTACCAAAGGCAGCAAAGTGAAACTCTGTCTCAAGATAAATATATATATATAATCCTTCCTGAATGTTAAGCAAGTACTCACCTTGTTCTTCAGGACATTTTGACTAATTTCAAACATTTGTTCTTTCTATTAGGTTTGTAAAATTAGTATTTATTGGCCAGGCACAGTGGCTCACACCTATAATCCTAGCCCTTTGAGAGGCTGAGGTGAGAGTTTGAGGTTTGCTGTAAGCTATGATGCCACGGCACTCTACTCAGGGTGACAGAGTGAGACTGTGTCTCAAAAGAAAAAACCCAGTATTTATCAAGTCCTTAAAAAATATGGTTCAGGGATTTAATAGAATATTACTAAGATCGTAGTCTCTTTTCAGAGAGTTGATAACTTAGTAACCCAGTTCTAAGAAAACTGATCTCTAGGCTCAGCCCCTAGTAGCTCAAGTGGCTAGGACGCCAGCCACATACCAGCTCTGGTGAGCTGGTGGGTTTGAATCCAGCCCAGGCCTGCCAAACAACAATGACAACTACAACCAAAAAATAGCTGGGCATTGTGGTGGGCGCCTGAAGTACCAGCTACTTGGGAGGCTGAGGTAAGAGAATCACTGAAGCCCAGGAACTGGAGGTTGCTATGAGCTGTGAAGCCCAGGAATTGGAGGTTGCTGTGAGCTGTGATGCCACAGCACTCTACCCAGGGTGACAGCTTGAGGCTCTGTCTCAGAAAAAAAAGAAAAGAAAACTGATCTCTAAAAAGATAACACAATATGGCAAAAACAATTTTTAACTTAGTCCTAAATAAGTCTAATGAAGGATATAAAAAGAACCTAATGAAAAAATTTACAAGCCAAAAAAAAATTTACAAGTATATTGGATAATATCAATGCAAAATAAAATAAATGGAAAGATGGCACATGTTCACAGAAAGAACTGGGTTACTAAGTTATCAACTCTCTGAAAAGAGACTACGATCTTAGTAATATTCTATTAAATCCCTGAACCATATTTTTTAAGGACTTGATAAATACTGGGTTTTTTCTTTTGAGACACAGTCTCACTCTGTCACCCTGAATAGAGTGCCATGGCATCATCATAGCTCACAGCAACCTCAATCTCTTGGACTCAAGCAATCCTCTTGCCTCAGACTCCTAAGTAGCTGGGACTATAGGCGCCCACCACAATGCCCAGCTAATTTTTCTATTTTTTTTAGTAGGGACGGGGTCTTGCTCTTGCTCAGGCTGGTCTCGAACTCCTGAGCTCAAGCAATCCACCTGCCTCAGTCTCCCAGAGTGCTAGGATTACAGGCATGAGTCACCGTGCCTGGCCCAATCTCTAGTATAATGTTGACTAGGAGTGAGGTTCTGGCCATATTTGATTTGTACCTAATTGTTTTGGGGAGAACAATGGACTTCACACCATTTATATGTTCTTGGTTCTTTTTTGAACATTCTTTTATCAGTTAGTCCTTTACCTAGTTATGTGCATTACTATCTATTCCACAATGGTGAGAGGTATTTTTTTAAACTTTTTTTTTTTTTGAGACAGAGCCTCAAGCTATCACCCTGGGTAGAGTGCCATGGCATCACAGCTCACAGCAACCTCC